CACCACCACCACCAAAAAATAAAATTAAATAATAACTGAATTTGTTTTCATTTCTTTACAGCTGCATTACTACTCATGATGACAATGTTTCTCTATTATTCATCGTAAACTATTCCTCAGTTTTATAATATTCAACTACAAACCGATAGCGATGAAAGAAAAACACAATAAATGCGAATTTCATAAATGCAACAAACCATTTTACCTGCATTTTTCGGTCTTTGATCCTGAATAACGTTTCTTTTTAAAATATTCGTCAAACTGCTAGCTATATTTCATAGTTTTGAAATGTCGTCAACTTAGCCCTGTATTGTAACAACGACATACATCATTTATGTTTGCGAATAATGTTAACTTTAAAATACAACAAATCGGAAACGTTGCGCACACACGTTCACAAAAGGGGGGGGAGAACAAAACACATGTCATTTATTTACGATCTGACAGAAGATTCTCGACTGATAACCAGGACGAAAAAAGAAAACGCTTAAAAAAAAGATATTAATTTTTTTTAATGGTTCAAAAAATATCAATAAAATAAAAATTCTTTTTTTGATTTACTTTTTTATTGAATTATCATTTTTTTTTATTATTGTGATTAAAAAAAGATACCAACTTGAGAAATATATTTATCTTCTAAAAAACTTTGGTTTGATAGTTTTAACTTGGGTCGTCATAAACACGTATTCAGTGAATTAGTTATAATACGCACACGTACGCATACAAACGCACGCACGCACGCACACACACACACACACATGAATAGGTGTGTGTGTGTGTGTGAGAGAGAGAGAGAGAAAGAGAGAGAGAAGAGATATGTCATCAGTGTTCCCTAAGATTGTATTTATGAAAATATTTATATAAAGAAAAATGTTTAAATGATGTACGTGCACACACCCACACACGTACACACGCACACACAAACACACAAATACATACACACATACACATACACACACACGTACGTCATTGCATACATTAATATTACTCAACGCATGCTTATTTCATATATTCGTTCACATTCCGTGTGAGAGGAAATTATTTGCTTTGTTCAAAAAGTGTGCACATAAAGCGAAACACCTTTTTCAGTGAATTTTATGATAAAAAAAGAAATTGTTAGACTAATGAAAAGGCTATAAAAAATGGTTAAACCAAGTTTAGTTAGCAAAAAAGCTGTCTGGGTTAGCATTCTTTTTTTCAAAACCATATTTGTTTTGTTTGTTTCTATTGCTAAAATTTAACAAGCCAATGAAATCTTGGCTAGATATTTTTTTTAAGTTATAAATTGCCAAATATTTTTTGATCAAAACAAAGTTAGTAAGAAACGATTTATATATTTTCTTTCATAGAAATTTACAAAATGCGGGTCAGTCTATGTTCTGTTATACGAAACTTTGTTTTGTTTTTAGTATTATCCATTATTATTTAATACTACTGATGCGAACTAACAGCGAGAGAAGTACCTATCGAATTCGAAACCTGTTGGTTGCGTAATTAATTGATACAACTTATTTAATTAAAAAAAAACAGTTATTTTATCATACTGGTGGCGCCAAATAACCTGCTCGCTTCTAGGTCTGCACAACTGATACTTATATGATCAACAGTCTCTAAATAGCACCCTATTATCCACCTCTGTTCATCAATAGATCAAAATTGGGAAACGCTCTTTTAACTTTCGCTAAGTATATGAGACTATAATTTAACGACTTGATTTTTCTATCTTAGCTATACGTTCTGTTAATTAATTTTTTAATGTAGTAGAAATAATTGCAATGACAACAAGAATCGTATGCATTGTTCATCATAATAACTTTGAATTTTGTCATAATTTCATTATACTACAAAGCAACGCACGCATTGTCTTTCTATCAAAAAAAAAACTTATTGGAATGTATTCAAATATTGACATTTTAAATAATATGTGACTTGGTGCCAAAGTAACTCTTGCTAAAATCTTGATTTATATCTTTTATATTTTCGTTTGTTTAATATTTTCCAATACAAGCCAGGTTTTAAAAATTTGGTTTGTGTTTAGAAAGTATTTATGTGTATTTGTAGGATGTAAAATAGAGCCTGAAACAAAAGTGAAGACGATACGACAAAGCTAGAGTAATTCATTTGATTTATGATACACTACAAGATCCCAAGACATTTTCCCCTCTGACATTTTTGACTTTCCTTCATTTTAATCCGAGGAAGCCAAAGAGATCATGCGCTTCTCCGGCGAAACGCGACTTTGATAAAATTTTCCACTTTGTCTCACTGTCTTTAGAAAGTATTATATATAGTAAGGTAAGAGATGTTATTGTTGAAATAATCACGCACACACACACACACATACATATATATATATATATATATATATATATATATATATATATATATATATATATATATATATATAGTCGACTCTCCCGTCGAGATTTGACGTATGAGGGTCAAACAGATCAGTTTCCGGGAAACCGACAGCCCGACACCGGCACATGAGATTTGATTATAGTGGTGAAGGTTTCGTGCAGGACCAGCCACACTATATATATATATATATATATATATGTATATATATATATATATATATATATATATATATATATATATATCTGTGTGTGTGAGTTCAAAGCAATTATTTTTTAAAGCTGCCGTCTTTGGAATTCGAAGAAAAATAAACCTTATTTATGAAAATATTATGTATAGTCATTTTTTTTATTTTTGTATTAATTCTTTTAACTAAACGGATTAGGCCCTAGGGTTAGTTTAGGTATTGTCTCCCCTATAACTTCAACTATCTTTCCTTAGCCATCAGTAATCTCTTACCACGTTTTGTCTTACATTTCTGTCAACAGAAACCTGATGTTTTTACTTAATCCTAATCAGTTTTAATCAATCACGAAATACATTTTATATAAAATATTATTAGTATTATTTAATCTACTAACATAGTAGCCGTAAAAATTACAGTATTATTTACATATGGATCGGTATTTCTGCATAGGATCAGCGTATCTATGTTGTTCTGTATGAAAATGTTAGAAATGCAATATTTACGAGAAAGCGCTGGAACGTTTTCAGTCCAAACAAGAATTCTTAAAAAAAAAAAAAAAATAGTTTGGTCCTTTAGGCAACTTTTGAAAAGTGGACCAGCTCAGTTACTTTACACTACAGCACTCCTTTACACACACGCGCGCACACACACATACATACACGCACAAATAGGCATTACGCTTTGAAGTGACTTATCTATTATTTTTGATAATATCATTTCATCTTCTATTTTCTAATAGTCTGTTAAATTGTTAAATTAAAAAGTGCTTAAATGTTCGATTTTCAACTTTGAAATTAAATCGTCATGAATTGTCCCCAGTGGAAGTCTACTCCCTCAGAAAATCAACCACATTCAGGACATGCTGGCGACCGGTGTGCATGAATATGGATAAAACGATAGCAACAAATAAACTCACTTTTTGATACTTTTTAAAAAATTTACATTAATCTTCGACACTGGACAATAAAATTCCCAGCGACCACTAAAATTGAGTAAACCCTGCTATTAATTATCTCGTTAAATTAATTTATTGATTAATTAATCCACATAAAAAGCAATATAATAAAATAATAATAATAATACTAATAATTTAATTTTTTAAAAATATTAACATTTCCCACATTTTGCTCGTGCATGTTTATATTAATTCGCATTAATCATTTATTTAGCAAAAAAAAAAAAAAAATATGAGAAACGTTTTTTTTTTAGATAAAAACTCAAAGTTGTTTATTTCCAATCGGCACATACAGTCGGTTTTCGAGGCCAGGTGAAAGCTAGGATTTTGAATGCACTGACGCAACACAATCTCTCTACAGTGACACTCTTATTATCTCCCCCCAAATTATCTTTGTGCGAAAAAAAAAAAAAAAAAAACTAAATCAAGCTCTCTATGCATAAATGCCGTTATGTTATGTATGTGGTGCGTAAATACACGCCTTTGTGTAGACTAGAAGTTTATCATCATTTCTGAGCGCATGTTGGACCGATGTGTACACATGTGTGCTTGAAGATTGCTATGCAACTTTTAGACGAAAATGTTACTAAATTAGTTTTTATTTATTTTTTATATAGTTATAGCGAGTCTCATACACTTTCATATGTGATTCTTCATGAAGGAATGAGGAGCAGGGTGGGACCACCGACATATTTAAGGTGCATTTTTCAGAAGTTCTACATACAATTTAACCTGTTATTAAGTCGCAACAGAGCAATCGACAATGATTATTGTGACATTGTACCAGGGCTCCTATGTGTGTAAACAAAAAAAACATTACATGTAACGTTAATTCATATCGATTACAGATTGATAAATTTCCTCAAAATACCTCGTTAAAAAACATGAACTTTTCCATGTTAACTTTCCATGTTAACTTTCCATGTTAACTTTCATTCTTAAAATAATCTTCTGTGGGCTAAAACTATTTAAAATCAAAATAAGCAGAAAACTTTACAAATATGATACTTATTTTTAAAAAAATATATTATTGACGCTATTTTGTTATTGAAATTACCAACAGCAATTTTCTTTACGGTGAATTAATTTAGTTCAAGATTTATTATTTGACAGATTAGCCGTACATCATTTCATGACAATTAATGAAATATTTAAAACTCAAGAAAACTGTGAACATTGTGATGTGATGTATGATCAGATCCTCTCGTAAGCACTTCTACTACAATTAGAGATATTATTTAAATTCTCTCCTCTTCCTCATCATAAAGTTTGCCAAGGCCCCACCCCTGAATATTTTTGGTCCCGCCTTATCGTTACTGTTTTGAGACGAACACTGAACAGGCGCGAAATGTACTAATAGTAAGAAAACAAGTTAACAGCTAAAAGTATTATTAGTGGCATTGTTAGCATTGTATCATTGCAAATATTATTATTATCACTATTATTATTATTATTATTATTATTATTATTATTATTATTATTATTGCATAAAATACGTACATACCCCGGCTGTGATGTGTATAGCAGAATGAAGTTGAGTAAGCGCGAAAATACGGAGTGTCGAGGCAGGTAGAAATGAGTGTCCTGCTGGCCGCAGTCAACGTTGGAGGGTGATGTGTAAACAGTGAGAAGTCGACGTGATGATATGACATCAGTAAAACCGACGCCGGCGCGTACCAACCTCGGTCTGTTGCCTGAACTCGGTTTTATTCTCCGTTTTTTGTTTTCTTTCTTTCTTTCCTTTTTTTTCTTTCTTTTCTTTCCTTTTCTTTTGTTCCTTTATCGAAAATATGTAGCTAATGAAGAGACGAATGATGAGAAATAAATTGAATCCAGTCGTGCAAGGAAAAAATGAAAGATAACGCGCTCTCTCGCTCTCTCTCTCGCTCTCTCTCTCTCTATATATATATATATATATATACACACACACACACACACACACACATATATATATATATATATATATATATATATATATATATATATATATATATCGGAAGGTAGGGAAACAGTAAATAAAATAAAGACGTGCTATATTGCGTACGCAATACGTGCTACCACTGTTATTGATAGCTAGATGTGAAAAGAGAGAAAGAATAAGAAGTGTAATAACAACAAAGGAGACCTGTAAATGCTGTACACGAGTCTTACAACTACTGCAACTGCATACACACATAAACACACATACACACACTGCGCGGAGAGAGAGAACGACACATACGTCTACGTCTTCTTCTTCTTCTTCTTCTTCTTCTTCTGTACCTTGCCGTTTATATGACCGCGTACAAAAGATGCCCCGTTGAACATTCCTTGATAAGAATTTTAATTTTATTTTTAATGTCGACCAACAGCTGTTAAAGCGATTGACTAAGAATTTAACTTCAACACAAGGCGAATGAACATATTTCATTTATTCGCGACCAAGTTAACTTCATGAAGTTAAAGTTAGAAAAGACATAACTGAATGGAAGGTGTGAACTTTGCTGATGGATTTTTATCTTAGTGAACCCTAGATTGTACAACTGTTTCGATAGACTGTTAGTAGTGGATAAGATTCACGGGTTTGATAAGAAAAAAAATCATATCAGTAATCCCGACATATTTACAAAGCGTGAAAAAAAAAAAAAAATTTATTTCGAAATGGAAAACTTGAATGTTTCTATCTGGGAATTTATTTATTTATCATATTTGTAGTTAATAAAAGAAGAAAAAAGTTTGTATTTTTTTTTCTCTTTCTCAAATAAATTGCATTTTCTTATTTATTTAAGTGACTATTTCTAAAAACAAAGAATATAAATTGTTTTTTTTTTATCTAAGCGCAAATCTATTTTTTTAATTCATCTTTTTGTCTTTAATATTTCGGAAGGTTTTTCTATACTTAATTTATAAAATACATGGATTCATCAAATGAAAATGAATTTGTAGCGGATAGTTTTATATCCGAGAAGCACAATTCACATTAAAGATATGAAAAATGCCAGTCAGTCTACAGACATCTACACCAAGAGACTCTCTTCATCCTATAGAATATAAACCTTTATATTTTACAGCCAATAAGCAAATAAATCATATTAAATTCAGGAGATACGAAAAAGTTTTTACAGTTCTGTACAAACACGGCTCCAATTTAAATAAGAGGTTTCTGGAACCTGATTGGATAGGACAAGTCAAGTGATGTGCTTTCTACAACATCCGCGCGGTTGGACTCCTGAAAATAAGTTAGATAGGGCTACATAATAGATTCCCGCGCAAAACTCAGATAAGATTCGTGAGCCAAGCACGGGTTGTCAAATAGCGATAAAAACCGCTCGTCGGTAACAGTCAGCGACCAGATCTGCAACGACACAGTGAGTGAAGGACAGTCGGCGAATGGCAGTCAGCGAACCAGACCAGGCCTCGATCAACAGTTTATACACACGTTACCATAAAACCCGTCAGTCAACGATGATTTTTCTCCATACATCAATAGGACGAAAGTAAGTCTTAGCTCCCCTCTCTTTGTTCCCTGTGTTTTAAAATTACTGCTATTGCACGCAGTCACGCACAGGTTTCATTAGCGTGTAGTTCACACACACACACACACACACACACACACACACACACACACATATATATATATATATATATATATATATATATATATATATATTGGCATACCATACCTCTTGAGTTCCTGACTTGCAACAAAAATGCTTCGAAACTTTGTAGACTTACTTGCGACAAATCATTTCGAACAATCGAACTATCAGTCTCTTCATGGTCACAACAAAGAACATTGATTTTTAATGTGTAAATACATGTATCTGGTTGTAGAAATGTTAACTATCATATTTAGCTTGGTCTTCTTTATCTGTGAAGATCATTTCTTTGCGTTGTTTATAATTTTGTGTTGTATTCGTGGACACGACACTCGGATTTTATTTTTTTTTCTACTAAAATCAAGGTAGATTGATTCCACACTTCTAAGAGATTAGCGAAGCACCTACAGATCGGAAAACATATTGGCACTACATGTCACCTTCTCAATAGATTTGTATTTCCTTTTCTCCTGTAAATGGCAATTACTAAAACGTAAAAACCTTCCATTCCTACGACCATTTTAAATAATAAGGCTACGAAAAGATACATAATCAAATCATTTCATCGCACACCTTTAAAAAGAAAAAAAATTGTTGTAAAAATGCAAATAAATTGTACTTTGGAATTTTACTCTGACTCATTACCAAAGCTTGCCTTTACCTATTTAGAAAATACTTGTAAAAGAATTCGCAACTATCACTTCTTATCATACATACATTCTCAATTTGTTAATTGATTTTTCTCCTTTTACTCTCATCAGAAAAGAAAAGTTAAGCAACACTGAAATTGATTCGTACTTAAATGGGTTACAGCTTAGGAACATCTAACAACTGGTGATAAACTATCCAAAACTAAATAATTATTATTCTCATTTACGGATGAGTGAAAACTAAAAGAAAGCAAAATGCGATCGGTTAAATTAAATATGTTTATTTTCGATCTGGGAATTTTAGAGCGTATTGTTGCTAAATGCTATTTATCCTATTATAATACTGGAAAACCAATTAAAGAAAATCACGTTTATTTTTCTTGGTTGTTTTTGCTTTTTAAGGAATCAGCCGTACGCTATGAAAGGTGGTCACATTTCGTGTTTACACCTAATAAGGAGCAGTTCATTTGAGCAAAGGGTTCATGAACCTGTGGTCAGGTACGAAAAATATCAATTTTCATTTTGGTTTTTATTAAAAATAGAAATTCCGATAAAATTAATTTTAGCTTTACGTTTTATTATTTTGTATTCAGTTTCTCTTTCGCTTTTTTTCTGAACGTGTTTTTGTTTGTATAATAATAATAATAATAATAATAAGAAGAAGAAGAAGAAGAAGAAGAAGAGAGTAAGAGTAAAGGAAGGGGAAAAACTCCATAAATAATAATATAGGTAATAATAAAGACATTAAAACTTATGTACGTTTTTATTGAATTGATTGACAGTATTAATGAAAAGGAGGTGCTTGATGAGCAATAGCTGGGACTTTGTTATTTGGTTGGAAATTGGTGCGTTTTAGTCATAAGCCACCAAGATTTATTTATCGACCCTCTCTTGATCCTCAGGCATTTGTCGACCCCTAGATACCTCCATTGACCATCGGGATCGTTATCGACCCTTTCGGAGACCCCTGATTTATATCATTTTTTTCCTTTCGCTGAAATCGAATAATTTTGAATGTAGCCGGCAAGAGATTGTAAAGAAAAATAATAAAGTTCATAATTATGACAAATAACATTTCTGTCAGTTCTGCGTTGACTTGAATCGATTATTTATGTCTTTTTTCGTTGTCTATTTATAACACTGTCCCATAATATATCTTACATTTAGGGTATGAAATATATGCAATTATAACATCTATTATGGGTATTGGCAGTGCTGAAAAATCTCAGGTCAACCAAGAAGGAATTTGAAATAATTCAGGCGTTCGGTCATTTGATCAGATTTTGGGAAATGGGTCAGACCGAAAAGCTCCTAGATTGCAGTATTAGGGCATCCATTAGACATCAAACTTACTTCACTAGCTACTTGAACTGTGTGACGAGATTGTTAACTTTCGTCCTATATTAGGTAATCTATACCTATTTACTAAGCTGAATATAGTCTGTCACAAGGCCATAAGATTTGAATCGCTGGTGAGGGTTGAACTCACTGCACTAACCAATTGGTTTGTAATAAACGTCTGCTAGCCATGTTGTTACGGTATGTGACTAAAGGATACTTTATTCATTTTCTTTTTCTTTATATGCCGTATCCCTTCGGGGACATAGCGCTCCACAACTTCTTATCCATTGTAGCTCTCAGTAGCTTTTCTCTTCCTACCCCTAGTTCCTCCATCCAAGCCCGTCAGTTACGTGGTTTAGCTGCGTCCCACTATCCCTTTTAGGTATGTTCCAGTTTATATGAATTTACCCTGTGAGTTTTAAATTCTCAAAGCCCTCCTTCCTCATTATGTATCTAAACATTTTCAGTTGTCTGTTTCGGATTCTGAGTATAAGTGTCTTTTTTTATTTATATTTTCCTTAAGACTTCATTATGCGCTTCGTTCATAGCATTCTCAGCATCCTTCTGTAGAACCACATTTCTGTTGGTTCCAGTATTCTTTTCATCTGTAAGGAAATTCAAAATAAATCAGAATCATTTCCCGTTTTGTTTTGTTTTTTAAACATTAGCTTCTAAAACTTCTATTTAAGTTTTGTATGCGGAAAATAAGTATAAGCTAAAAGCAAAAAAATAAATCTGTATTTAAAATCAAGACAAAATATGTTTCCAGTCGGACAACAGAAATCATTTCACCTCAAGCAAGGCAATAAAGCCACTAAGATGTGAGGAAGTTACTGGGTGTAAGATAATATCACGTAAAGAAAACATTGTTAGGCATTGTTTCAAGACTATTCTTTCATTGCATCTCACTATTACAACTTTCTAACAAGTTCCGTCATTTTTAGTGACACAGGTGTACTAGTAATAATATTTTTTTACAAATTGCTCACTCAATATCAGGCTTAACTCGGTATTTCGTTCCACAAGGTTTCAGTTCTTGGAAAGAAGCTGTCCAAATGGAACTTCCTCTACACTAATAGAATACGAAGGGAATGTTTCGTCACAGTTTATGTGACATGGCAATTCTTAGCTGTGAAGGCCTGAACTGGTGGAATTAAGGAATGCAGCTCATCTGAACATTTGCCATGAAAATAACGACAGAATAGCGAGAAGCTTACAATGTTTCGTGTGTGGGTTTGTAGGATGCAAAATAATTCATCATATAAACGGAGTCGTACGCGGACCGAAGCCTGCTCACCGAATCGATTGTGACCAGGTCACTCCCAACGCCGACTAAACACTCTTGCCAGATGTAAACCGTGTGAGGTGAAGTGGGACAGTCATACACGGTTGTTTTCTTGTCCTGTGTGCCCAGTAAGTCAAATTTAAGTACTGGTCTTTGCCGACTGTTCCATCTCACACTAATAATAATAAACACAATAATAATTCCCATCTAAAATTTTCGACAAAAGTCTCTTCAAATATATAAGATTATTATTATTATTATTATTATTATTATTATTATTTATGTGTATGTTCTGTTTCCTGCTTTGTATTCTGTTTAGCCGCGCCCAAACTATGGTCATTAAGCATTATAGGAGAATTGTCATT